TCATTAACACCAATCAATTGAATAACAATGCCTGACTACTTCTCTGATCTTTTCCCCTGTAGTGGCAAGAAGCTGTGCTGCAAGCCCAAAGGCACACAGTTCGATTCCACTAGCTGCACTACAGGAGAGGGATGGAGATTTGCTCTTCCTGTGTGATTAGCTGCCTCTGAAAATCCACTGGCAGGTCAGCTTCCAACTCAATGAATCAGTTCCAATTTGATAGCACACAACAACAACAACGCTCTTCTTTAACTGTAGTCTAGTCATATTGATCCTTCTTACTATTCTTTGAAAACCCCAAGATCTTTGCTTTTGCTATTCCTGAAGCCAAAAATAGCACCTTTACTCCACTTTATTCAGGTACCAACCAAAGTGTCATCTCCTTAGAGATCATCCTTGACCAATTTAACTAAAATAGCATACCCACTTCCACTTTCCCCTCACACTCTAACCCTTTAGACAGTTTTCTTTTTATTTATAGCACTTATTACTTGGCAATATGTATGCTATTGTCAAGACAATTAAGATTCATAGAGACTCCATGTAACAGAACAGAACTGCCTACAGGGTTTTCTAGGTTAAAAGGTTTACAGCAGCAGCTCTCCCAGCCTTTCAACAGAGGAGGAGTTGAGTGACTTCAAGCCATCAATCTTTCAGTTAGCAGCTTAGTACTTAACTGTTAAAACTCTAAGGCTACCCCTCCACCGCCCCAACAATAAAGGCAAAGGACCTTATTCACTTTTCTCAGCACCTTAAACAGTGTTTGGTACATAGCTAGTGCTCAAAGAACATTTACCAAATACAAGAAAGAATGCATTTACCTTATGCTCTGAACTGAGATAAGTACTAGTAATATAAAGATAAGCCATGTCCCCTGCCTCAAAGGAGCTGACATTCTACAGGAAAGACAGATACTCTACAAGAAAGGAATAGGAGAAAGACACTCTGAAACACTTAAGAGTTGACACTCTGAAGAATTTCCGCTGGAAAATGAAAATAAAAGTCTTAATACTTAAGTGTTAACTGCTAAAGAATTCTAATCTCTCTCACAGCCACTGAATCAATTTTGACACACAAAGAGACTAAGAACAAAAAACTATCCCATCGAATTTCTGAGGCTGCAAATCTTTTTTTTTTAATTTTTTAAAAAATTTTATTATTTTTTGTGCATGTACCGTCAAATCAGATCTGACTGGTACAGGAGGAAATTGTCCCTCCTTCTCCGGCAGAGCATCTGGTGGAGGCTGCAAATTTTAATGAGCACAGACTACCCATTGTTCTCCTATGCAGTGTCTGGCATTCAAACTACTGACCTTTCAGGTAGCAATACAACACTTAACCCACCACACCACGAGGACTCCTTACAAAAGTTAATTATAAAAAGGCTAAATGCTGGTCTTAAGAGGTAAATCTGGTTTTAAGTTTTTTGTTGTTAGGTGCAGTGGAGTTGACTATGATTCACAGCAGCCATATGAACAACGGAGCTGAAGCCTGCCCTATGATGCACCATCCTCACCATCTGATATCACCATGCGATATACCTGTGCCCATAGTTACAGTCACTGAGCCAATTCACCTTTTTCACTGACCCTCTACCTTTCAAATTTAGGTACTAGTTAGTACCTATTAACTTATTAACTATTTAAGGGAACTCTGGTGGCCTAATGACAAGAAGCTGTGCTATAATCCTAAAGTACTCAGTTCAAATCCACCAGCTGCTCTGAAGGAAAAGGAATTTACTGGTGGTTCAGCTGTGAGTTGCTTCTGACTTGACAGCACATGACAACACTTACTGGCTAACAATAATATATCCTCTTTCAGACTGTATCCTAATCTTTTTTTTATTATTATTTTTTTTCTGTGAGTGTACCGTCAAATCAGATCTGACGGGTACAGGAGGAGATTGTCCCTCCTTCCCCGGCAGAGCATCTGGTGGATTTGAACCGTGAGCCTCTGGGAGTATCCTAATCTTTTAAACTGAAATTCTACTGCTCCCTCTTTTACAGACATACTGTAAAATTAGGTTAAGATAATACAGTTTCAAGGGAGCTCTGGTTGCTTAGTGGTTAGAAGTTGCACTGCCAACCCAAAGGCATGTAGTTCAAATTCATCAGTTGTTCCGCAGGAAAAAAATGGGCAATTTCCTCCCTTAAAATTAACTGCCTCTGAAAATCCACTGGAGAGTCAACTCCAGGTCAGTTCTGACTTGTGGTACACAACAATTTTCAAACAAAGATGATTTCATTAAAGATCTTTCATAGTGACTGGAATACAGTATGTACTCAATAAGTGTTAGCTATTAATGTGATTAATGGTTTACTAAAATATCCTCTTGAGTCTAATGTCCATCAAAAGCTGTTGTTGTTATTAGTTGCTACAGAATTGATTTTTACCCTTGGTAACCCACCAACCTTTCAGTGAAAATTCAAGCATTTAACTATATGTGCCATCCAGAGACTACTTGTCTTACTAATTCTATCTGCAAGAAAACCTTCCTTTTCATTCTCACAGTCCCTAACTGCTATCTCTAAATTCAATCTCTCTTCTAATTAAATGTACATATTCTTAAATAATTAAATCTAAGCTTCTCAGCCCAGAACTTAAGCTTTTCATGTTTGTGTCTCAACTAATATTTCCAACCTTATTTTCTATTCCTTTTCTTAGACCATCATTCCAGCCAAACTGAATTACTCTACTTTTCTTAGCCACACCCCACATTTTCCCATGACCATGGGAAATAATTTTATTCCCTCTCCCTGGAATACTCTTTCTCTCTTTATCATCAAAACTCCAAATCCTTTCTATCATCTTCCCAAAGACCTTTCCTGATTTCTCCCAACTGAAAATGGTCTCCCTATGCTGAATACCCATATGTCATTTATACTCCTTCTAAAGAACTGAGACCTTTCAATTTTACATCTTGGATGTTTATGCATTTCCAAGTTCCCTGAAGAAAGAATTTTGTACCAGTTTCTTTACCTTCTATGTAGTCCAATACTCAAATATATGTTAAAGAAATATTTCACATGTAAGCAAACAATAAAATTAGACATAACCTCGACAGTGTTTTCTGCCTTGAGCCAGAGTTTCTCATCTAACCTGTATGACTGACTGCTCCATCACAAGAAAAAACTAGAACTTTCAAATCAGTGGAGAGAGAGAGGGAGAGAGAGAGATTGATTATTTCTGGGTTTAATAAGATACACGTTTTCATTTCCATTTCTAAATCATTTGGTCTCAAATCATTCCCCTTCCATCAAAAACTTTCTACCTCTCAAGTTTAGAACCAACTAGTTCTACATTTTAACTCAGTATAGCCTAGCTCACAAAACCATGATAATAAACAACAATGATCATCAGTGGTTCTGAATTAAGTTGCTGGGAGCTCTGGTGGCCTAGTGGCAAGAAGCTGCACTGCAATCCCAGAGGCTTGTGGTTCAAATCCACCAGATGCTCTGCTGGAGGAGGGACAAGTCAGATCTGATTTGATGGTACACACAAACAAAATAAAAACAAAAATTTTAATAATCCCAAATTAAGTTGCTGCTGCTGACCTCTTGTTTATAAGGCTCTAAGGAGCGCTGGTGTGTAGTGTATAGTTTTGCAAGACTAACTTTAAAGGTTCAAACCCATCAGCACTCTGTGGGAGAAATATGGGCAGTCTCCTCCTAGTAAAATTTATGTAAGAGGACCGTGAACTGAAATTAACTTGATGATATTTAGTTCACTTGTTTTATGCTAATTAATTTTCAGGCACAAGAAACAGGTTGTGCTCAAATGAAATCACTCATTCAGCTACAGTCTCACTCATGTATTAATGGTGAGTAGGGAGTTTCAGGACAAGCAATGACATTCTCAGAGAACATGCAATCACGATGCTCCTTAGAGAAGGATGGTGGTAATGATGTCTCACATACTTTGGGTATGTTGTCAGAAGGGGCCAGAACTTGGAAAAAAGTATCATGCTGGGAAAGGTACAAGTAAGCAAAAGAGATTAAGACCTTCAATGAGACAAAACGACATAGTGACTCCAACAACGAGCCTGAGCAAGGGGAAGATTGTGAGGATGGTACAGGACAGAGGAAGGTTCTGATCTGTGTGTTGTTCATAAGGTTTCTGTGAGTCATAGTAGACTCAATAGCACATAACAATGATATTCTGAATTCTACTACGAACTCTGCCATGTTTACTTGCTACGGATTGAGGTTAAGTCCCTGAGCTACTCTGTACATCAGGTTTGTTGCTGTGTGTTTTTGGAGTCCGTGAAGTGAACACAGCATTAGTGCTGACACTTCTGGTGATGGCTCAGCTACTGAAATGAGAAGCTAAATACCAAGAACAACAAAAGACTCATATGCTTGAAATTTAAAACTGAGTACAAATCCTTTCCTACAAAATAAAACACGCAAAAAAGTAAAGTGAAATCTTTCTGGTGACTCTTCCTTATAGAAGGATTCCAAATTTATTAAAGGAAGAACTATGCTTTAAGTCACTCAAATGCATGCAACTCACCACTTCCAAATGAAAACTCAAGATTACCCAGAAGCTAGTTACTGAATCGAATGTAAACCTAAAGCCTAAATCAGTAAACAACCTCTGATTTAAATTACCCAAATATGCGAGATGGGTGGGAGGAAAGTGAATGACAGGAAAAACTAGGCTCACAGCTCTCCAGGTCATTCGCGCGCGCGCACAGCGCACACACACTTGCGGGCTCTCACACTTACAAAGCCCCTACAGACTGTCAGATCAGTTGTTTTGGCCCCAACACCGCGGGGGGGAAACTAAGAAACTCGAGCTTCAGCTGCGGTTCGAGACCCTCAAAGAGTCGGCCCTGACAAATTCAGGGGTGACAGCCTGACGCCTCTAGGGTGGAAAGTCCTAGACAGCCAGGTAATTAATGGCTCTGATCTTAGACCCGGTTGAGTTCCACATCCCCAAAGCTTCACCAGGCCGGTCCCAAGACGGTCCCCGCCCCCTAGCACAATCCCCCATCTCACTGGCTTGGCTGATCCTCTGGATGTTGCCGCTGCATGTCTGGATGATGCTGTTGAAGTCCCGGAGCTGAGGCCCTGAGGGCCCCGGGTTCCGGTACATGTCTAAAGGACCATAAGACATGACAAGGAGGTGAGACAGGTTCGCCCTGGACTGCGCTCCGACCGGAAGCAGCTGACAGACGGGACAGGGAACCTGACAGAGAAACCGGGAAGAGAAAGGGCGTGGAAGAGGCTGGGGCTGCGTGCGCATCGGTCCCGCCCCTCACGCAATACGCTTGCGTCCGGCCTGCCACGCCCCGTTCTGCCCCAAAGTGCGCAGGCGCCGCTGGGGCCGAATCCTGGGATAAACAGAAGCTAGGGTACTACGTCACTTTATTGGGGATCAAAATTGGATCCTTGGTCGCCAGTATTGTTTTTCACCAGAACGCACGGATTCTTTTATTTGCATAAAATTATTAGTATAATTTGATGCATAATATATATTTATGTATGTGTGTGTGTGTACACACACACACATAATTTAATAGTGATCTCAACCCTAAACTTCATCCTATTAGATTCCGTTCTGAGGATTCAGACCCAAATATAAGAAAATTTAGTAACTTCGAAACTTAACTAAAACTAATCCCTAGTTTATTCTCCATATTAAAAATATCCTTTTTATCGGTATCCTAAGTGGTGATTTCCTGAACTATATTCATAAATGTAAAATTCATTCCTGTAAATAATTTGGAGTCTAGAACTTAAGTGTCCCTCTAAGATAGCATTTTATCAGAATGTGAGTTAGGAGGTCAAGACGGGAAAAGTGCAGTATTCTGTCTGTGTTAATGCAGTCACTCTGCCCTGGCCTGCTAAACAGCAGAGAAAGAAGGAAATTCCTTGTCTGTGTTTACAAATGTGGGCGGAGACCCCAAATTATGAACAAACCTGCCTTCAGCCACAGAGCTATTTTGAGTAATAGTATGTTACATGGTGTACTTTCTAGAAGTCCATTGCACAATCCATTGCGCAAGACAGGCTAGGCTCACTTTGTTGTTATGTGCTGTCGAGTCTCCTGCGACTCATACCGACCCTATGTATAACAGCCCTAAATCCTGCTCTATCCTGTGCCAATCGCACTGCCTCTGACACACCCATCCCGATTACCCCAGTCCATTGAATTAATCCACCTCATAGAGGGTCTTCCCCTCCTGCGCCCTCCCAAACATGATGTCCTTCTCCAAGGACCTGTCCCTCCTTACAACATGTCCAAAGTATGTCAGACAAAGCCCCAGAATCATTGTCTCCAAGAAGCAGCCTGGTTTAACCCTCTGAAAGATGAACCTGTTTGTTTTCTTGGCAGTCCATGGTACATTCAATACTATTCTCCAGCACCACAGCTCAAAGGCATCAATTCTCCTATCCTTTGTAGTCATTGTCCAACTCTCTGATGCATAACAAGTGATTGTAAAGACCATGGCCTTTATCAGACACACCTTTTGTCTCCAGAATTATACCATTGCTCTTCAGTACTTTGGAGAGGTCCCTAACAGCAAACTTTCCCATTGCAATATGTTTTTTTATTTCCTGGCTACTGGTGCCAAGAGTGTTGACCATGGAGCCAAGCAGACTAAAGTTGTTAACAATCTCAATCTCTTCACCATCCATCCAGCCAATTGGTCCAGTGGTGAGAATCTTTGTCTTCTTGACATTGAGCCTCAATCCATATTGAAGGCTGCAGTCCTGGACCCTCTGCAGCAAGCGATTCAGGTCCTCCTCAGTTTCAGCAAGTAGGGTTGTGTCATCTGCATAATGCAGATTGTTAATAGATCTTCCACCAATCCTGATGCCACACTTCTTATAGAGCCCAGCCTCTCGGATAATCTGTTCTGCATACAGGTTGAAAAGATATGGAGCTAGGACAAATCCCTGGCATACACCTTTCCCAATTTTGAACCAAGCAGTGTTTCCCTGCTCTGTTCTGATGATTGCCTCTTGGTCCAAGTATAGGTTTCGCATTAGCACGATCAAGTGTTCTGGGATTTCCACTCTTCCCAGAGTCAGCCACAGTTTGTTATGATCCACACAGTCAAACGCCTTTGCATAATCCATGAAACACAGATATACGTTCCTCTGGTATTCCCGATTTTCAGCCAAGATCCATCTAACATCAGCTACAATATCCCTAGTACCACGACCCCTTCTAAACCCAGCCTGGACTTCTGGCAGTTCTCTGCTGATGTGCTGTTCCAGACGTTTTTGGATAATCTTCAGTAGAATCTTGCTTCTATGTGAAATCAATGATATTGCTCTATAGTTTCCACACATATAAAATTATATATATATAAAATATATGTGTTTATATATCTATCTCTATATCTATATATAACAGTGCAAACGGAAGGCAAGTGGTACTAACCCACAAGAAGTCGATCCTGGAGTGGAAGTATAAGAGCAAGGACTTTTTCTCAGCACCTTCCAGGAAAAGAAGCTGTACATGACAGTTGTACTTTACAACTTTAAATTGAAGTCATACTGACTGCTTCATAAGAGACTGACAGCAGCAATGATATGGTCAGAATCAGAGAAATCCTGATTGTTTGAGACTTAGGCTGTCACATCAGGGACTGGTCAATGGGAGACCGGTGTTGTTGTACACAAAAGTAGGAAGGGTTGATGGTGGAGTAGGGAAAGGGCGGATTGAAAAACAAACAAACAAAAAAAAACCCCAACCAAACATGTAGCTGGGTGGGCAGCAACATTAAACATTGGTCTTTTTCTAACTGGTAAATGTCTTTCATCTGCTCTTTTCTACATAATGTTTGTCTGTCAGATACTATTATATATATTTAAAAACTGAGACAGACTAGGAAGAAGTATTGGCCATCCACTTCGAAATTACAGGCCTTTGAGAACCCTATGTACAATAGAACACACTTCGGCTCATAGAGTATTTTTTAAAGCATTTCTTTATTAATAAGGATGATATCTGGGGCCTCTTGTTTTGGTTATTAAAACTGTCATTTCTTAGAATACATAGTTTAATGTAAAATCTTCTAGAAAATAATATAAACCTGTACTTTTTACTCATAAATGAGTGTTGAAGATATTTTCATTTATATTTCACATGATCTAAAAAGAAGTTCTATCTAAAGAGGATGTTTGTGTTTTATCCACTATACAAAGGTATTTGACTGTGTGGATCACTACAAATTGTTGTGTGGATAACATTGAGAAGAATGAGAATCCCAGAACATTTGATTGAGTTCATGAGAAACCTATACCTAGACCAGGAAGTTGTTGTCCAAACAGCACAAGGGAATACAGCATGGTTTGAAGCCAAGAAAAGAGTGTGTCAGGCATGTATCCTTTCTTCATACCTTTTCAAACAAACAAAAGTTTGTTTATAAATATTTTTATTGTAATTTTAATAAAAGTTTACAGAAAGTCGGGTTTACATTCATTCAATGTTACACATTTTTCTCCCTCCCCTCCCTCTTCTCCTTCCCTAGCCCACTTTGGAATGCACCTCTTGTTCCAGAATATTGTCATACATATAATGCTTAATCATATATTCCTGCCATCTGTTTTAATGCAGTGTTCTTTAACTATATGCTCTTTTCCTATTCTCCCATCCACCCCCCACGTCAGTCCTATTTTATAACAGCTGTATTATGCAGTATTTCTCCTGTTGCAACTAAGATATTTTACTCAGCATAATGTCTTCTAGGCTCACCTATACTATGTAGTGTTTTACAAGTTCATTGTTTCTCAATGTTGTGTAATATTCCATTGTGTGAATGTACCACAGTTTTTCTATCTATTCATTTGTTGATGAGCATTTGGGTTGCTTCCATCCCTTTGCCATTCTGAATAATGCAGCAAATACGTATGTTGTCATGGCTGTGGTTTCCTTAGGTTATATTCTTGGTGGTGGAATTGCTTAGTCAAATGTTATTTCTATTTCCAACATTTTGAGAAAGCACCAGACCACCTTCCATAGTGGTTTTAGATTTTACATTCCCATCAGCAGTAAATAAGAGTTCCAGTCTCTCCATGACCTTGCCAGCATTTATTGTTTGATACCCTGTTGAATTTTGTTGGTGGTGGGGTGAGATGATATCTCATAATTGTTTCCATACATTTCAATCTATACACTGAACAGATTGTTCGGGAGATTGGACTGTATGAAGAAGATTATGGCATTATGATTGGAAGAAGATTTATCAGCAACCTGTTTTATGCAGATGACACAACCTTGCTTACTGAAACAGAGGAGAATCTGAAGTGTTTTCTGCAAAATGTGAAGAACTATAGTCACTGGTATGGACTGAAGCTCAACATCAAAAAAAGATCCTCACCACTGGGCTAATAGATATATAAATGGACAAAAGATTGAGATTGTTAACAATTTCATCTTGCCCAGATCTACAATCAACAGTCAGGAAATCAAAACATGAATTGCATTGGAAAAATCTACTCCATAGTGCTAAAGAGCAATGATGTCAGTCTAGAGACTAAGGTGTGCCTGATCCAGACCATGGTCTTCTCAATTGCTTTCTACACATCTGAGAGCTGGACAATGACTAAGGATAACAGAAGAAGAATTGATACCTTTGAGTTGTCATGGTGGAGCACAATATGGACTGCCAAGAGAACAAACATCTGTCCTGAAGAGGATGAGACAAGGTTACTTCTTAGATGTAAGGATTTTGAAGTTCCATCTCACATGCTTTGAGTATGTTGCCAGGAGGGGCCAATCCTTGGAGAAGGACACCATGCTTGGAAGGGTAGAGGATAAGTGCAGGAGAAGAGGAGAAGAGGACCCTGGATGAGATGGACTGACAGTGACTGTGGCAATGCGGTGTCAGAAATGATGAGGTCTCAGGATAGGGCAAAGTTCAGAGCCATTGTTCGTAGGGATGCTATGGGTCATAGTTGACTTTGTGACAAATAATAAAAACAAAGTTCAAAAAGTTCTGGTGGTCTAGTGGCAAGAAGCTGCACTGCAATGCAAAAGGCATGCGGTTCTAATCCACCAGCTAGTCTGCAGAGAAGGATGGACAATCTCCTCCCGGGCAATTTACTGCCTCTAAAAACCTGCTGCTGTGTTAGCTATGACTTGGTTCAAACTTAATGGCACACAACAACGAAGAAAAAGCTCAGTAAAGATATTTTTTCTCCTGTTGTTGTTGTGTGCC